ATCAACAGTTTAACACCTCTTTAGCATTTAAGACCACTTTACTTTTCAAGTGAAGTGAAGCGATATCTTTTGAGAAATGATTTTCACTCTACAGTGAAATTCTTTTTGCAGTACCTTCTCAGCACCAGCGAAAGAAACAAAAACAGACATACGATCGAGTGCAAATGAACATACAGTTAGTGCAAAATGCAGAAGTACATATAACACATAGGAAACATACTATTCTGAAGGCTGTACAGTGGTGGGCATGTGCCATATCACTGATTGCAATTCTGTGCCCCTAATACAGAGAATGGTTGAGTTTCTAAACTTGAAAAACTTGCTTGGCTCAAGTTGATGTTTTGATCAACGAGACAGGCAGAGAGAAAGAATAAAAGATGTTTTTATCTTTTGGCTTCTCAGACGAACGCTCTGAGCTCTCCGGCTCCGTTCGTCAAGTTTGTTTAATTTTATCCACCCTCCAAACATACTTTGGTCAGAGGCACACCACTTCGTTTGAACCTTGAAGGTTATGCCAAACCAATAAAAGGAAGATGGATTTTTTTTTTTCCTTATGAATTGCTAAATTGCTCTGCATTAACGTTGCATGTCCTTTCCTCTCTTTGTCCTGGTGTGTTAATTGTGGAGAACTATGTTGTTGTCACTCTTCCCATGAAACAAGCCCATGAGCGAGCGAGCAGCATTCCAGGGAACTCTCCCAGAGTCTCTGAACTGCTTGGCTGTGTGTTTTCTCTCGCCGCAGAGCACAGTCATCTGCCCTACACATGCTCATATGCCAGATGACAGGAGATGGGGATAGAGGGATAGAAAGGGGTGGCATAGAAGAGATGCAGGAGAGAACACAGCAGATCGAAGGGGTGTGCAGATGCGTGTATGTGTGTGGGAGAGGGGCGTGTGTGTGCGTGTTTAACATCTGTACTGTACATCGCAGATGCGGGGTTTGCCAAAAAATCTCTTCTAGAACATGAGCAGGATGAAGTTCACGAACAGCCCTGTTCAAGCTGAGCTAGTTTTATCTGTGCTGTGATTTAAGTGATTACCAAGCAAATGTGTGTAGCCTGATTAGTAGTAATTCCAGAGCGAATGACCTTTTGTATTTCACAGAATCTGAAGCTCCTTCTGTAATAGTGGTCCTATTTCAGACAACCTCACAGAAACGTACTAACAAAACCTACAAATAGACACAGCCAAAGCTGTATTGTTATTGTAATTGGTTGTGGCGCCTTTCACACAACACTGACATGAACATCGGACTATAAAATTTAAATCTGGGCTGTCTACATGTCGACACTTTTGGCACAAAACCTTGTATCCCAGATTTTTTGGTCATTTGAAAATGCCAGCTGCCCTGAACGTTCTGTCAAACTTTCATGATGATTGGGCAACTAAAAATTGTCCAAAAATACTTGGAAACAAATCTTTTTTCCTTTAACTTCCTTTCAAAGTTAAGAACCTTTTTTTCCTTCTCTTGTAAAATTATCTTTTTGGACATACAAGGTTTTGTCCCAACAGCAGCGATATACTATATCCCATACAAATGGGCCAGTCAAATCCCAACAAATTACAATACTGATCCTCCTCTGGTGAAAATGATTCAGCTGGGATGGTGATCACAAGATATTTTTTAGAAGTTTTTTCCCTCATTCACATTGTTGTAAACCAGTGTGCCCAAACTTTTTCATCTCGGGCCAAATAGCAATGTGTGGTGAGCTGAGGACCAAAAAGGCAAAACATCAAAATAAGAAAGATAGGTAGGTATTATTAGCTAAAAAACTTCATAGAATAGGAGTATGTATATATGTATGTATGTATGTATGTATATATATATATATATATATATATATACACACACTGCGTAAACAGCTTTGTTGTCTCATTGGATAAGGGTCTAGGGTTAGGGTAACTTTCTGGTGGCCCAAATCAAATGTCCTCCTAGGCCAGCTTTGGCCTGAGGGCCACACATTGGCAGCCATGTTCTAGAATGTTCTCCCCTTTACTTACACTGGTTAATTTGGCTTCTCAGCTCTTATTCTGGAACAGCAGAAATGGCAGAGTAACAACCATTAATTTCTAATTTCCGAAGACTAGCCCTGTCCTGCCCCATATATCACACAAACGCTGCAGATAGAGATGAGAGCTCCCTCATAAGGACCTATCGGCTTCACTTTATGTGTGTAACAAGTATAAAATTATAGGACACACAGGAACTACCTAACCCTCCTTGTGAAAACATACCGTTGTCGCCCTGGCTTTATGTTACAGTCACTGACTGTCATTGGTTTTACAGTACGCTGACCGAGAAGGCAGTTGATGCTTCCGAGAAACGTGCGGCCATCGCGAGCCTGCGGCTGACAGCTCAACTGCAGCTGCTGCGTCAGCCAGGAACATTATCACCTAATAGAGGAACTGCACAACTTGTGAAGCGCGAGAGACTCCTCACATTGTCCACTTCTGCAGGGCTTTACTACAGACATGTGCGTGTATGTGAGTATAAGATGGTGGGATGAATGGTCGCAACAGGCCTGTTAACTCAAAGAGGCTCACATGGGGGTGTGAGGTTGACAAAGCCAACACCTCATGGTGCATGCTAATGAGGAACCTCTCTCTCACCAAACTGACACATACACATATGCATACACCACTTCACATATGCATATACTTTACATCTCAGAGCGACAGACCTTACCAACTGCTACTTTGGACTACGGATGAGGAAGCATGTTTAAATGTGTGAACATATGCATGTGGTGATATGGTTCACGTTTTTACTTTTAGGCAGTAAGATCACTCCTAATGAGCTAATATTGCTCTGGAAGTCAATACTGCACTCTTCAACAGCCAATTATAAAAATGGATAGAGGATCTCTTACTGTCTAAAATGCTTTTTTTCTCAGTCCTTATCTTAAGGTACCCCTGTCTGGCATCGTTTAATATTAAAACTGGTCTAACACAGCTTGCTGAACTCAGGAAAGGCTTGCTAAAGAGCTGCTGGGTTGAAACAGGTGTGTTAGAGCAGGGAACACTCTAAAATCAATCAATAAAATGCTCGTCCCCAGGAAGCAGTTGCAAAGCAAAATGTGCAAGTAAGTGGTGCTCCAGGACCCACCAGCCTAAAGCATGCAACAACTGCCTTCAGCAATCAGCATCAGTCATCCCTGTCTTAGCCTTCAAATCTAATAACAGGTTATAAACGCAGCACTATAAAAAATAATCCACGTTATAAACCGGCCTGCATAGTAACCTTTCTGCAAATGCTATGCTGAAAAATTCATAGCAGCTGTATTTGTCCTGTCAAAAGTCACAGAAAAAAACCTTTTTGCTTTAAGTGCCTGCCACAAGTGACCAAAATAGGTGGAGGATTGAGTGGCACCTATTTGTTTGCCTTGATTTGTAATAAGAAAATCAGAGATAACTGCAGGGGGCTTCTTGTTTCTATCAGGATCTGTCCTAGGCTTTTATGCATTCTGATTGTTTTTTTATTTGTTTTTTTTTTTCCTGATTTTTTCCTTAAATTAGTAACTAGCAAACTACTTACTGTGAGTACTTACATATTTATTTACATATTTACTTGCTCACCCTTTATTATAATCTGAATACACGTTAACACATCTTTAACATATGCTAGAATAGATCTGTAAAAAGCATGAGATTATATTGTTTTTATTGAGCTTGTTCTGAAATGTAAGACAAGCAGATATACACGTTCTCAGGAGAGCATGTACAAGTTTATGCCTTCATTTTTCTTCAAAGGTTCTTTAGTTAAAGGGAATTGTTCTATGTAGAATCATGAGTTCTATAACCATTTCATGCTTAAATGGTTCTTTGCATGGCGACATGGGTCTTGTGTTTGAAAATGTTTTTTTATGTATATATATATATATATATATATATATATATATATATATATATATATACACACACACATAGTAGAACATGGTTCTTCTGCTGTTACAAGCTTGACACCCTAACAATAGAAGAACGCTTTTTGGTGCTATATAGAACCATTTTTAAAAAAAAAGGTTATATGTAGAACCATATACAACACTCTCTGAAGAATTTGAAGAACAATTTCTCCATGCGAAGAACCATTAAAGCATGCAAACAGTTCTATATAGAACACAGGGTCCTAAACAGAAAACAGAAAAAGAATCTTCGTGAAAACTGCGTAAGTGGATTTTAAGAAGAAAGTTCTTCTTAAGAACGGTTGGTGAATGAGGTCCAAAGTCTTAGTTTAATTATGCATGATTATGCACGATTCTTTTTACTAAAGAACCCGTAAAGAACCATTTTTTTTATTAAAGAACGAGTTTTTTATAGAAAAATTATGCATTGACCTCCAGTTTGACGCCTATAGCGCTGCAGAAATCGCGGAGCCCTCGTCCGTTTTGAATTCCACTTTTATTAAAGGATCATTTCAGTTCACTCTAAACACATAACCCACGCGGATGTAGCAAAATAATCGAGTTTAAACGAGAACAAAAAATTAGTGCGTTTTCATCCACACAGTGATGCACATTAATCTCTCGAGTCAAATTAGAAGTGAACAGAAGCCGAAACTCGCCTGCAGAGAGTCTGAACAAGACTTTTTGCACATATTATAAACTTTCACATTTACATTCAGGGTAAACAAGTTAAGCCGCGCGCCACAGTTTGCGCCCGAGCCCGTCAGCTACTGCGACAAGTGATAAAGTCAGACGGAGCGACGCGCGACCACATCGCGAGCAAACCGCAACTTCTCTCTCGCGCTTCCATCACCCAGCGGCTCTGTCTGCGCTCACTGCCCACTCCGCTGCACGGCCGGCGCTGCTCTTTAATAAGAGGGAATATGTTCGCGCTAACTCTGCCAAAGTTTGAGAGAGCTGTCTTACACACTGTGGGCTACATGCGTGTGCACGTGCGGCTGTGAGTTTGAAAATATGTGTGTTTCCCCGTTTTTCTGAAGTCCCCCCCAACCGGAGTGTGAAATCCCCCGACAGACCCTGAGCCTGGTCCCTCCGTACCTCTGTTCCTGCGTGGGTTCGCCTGCTTCCTCCGCTTCCCTCCTCTCTCCTCCGCCATCTCCACTCTCCGGCGCTCCGGGCTCTCCGGCTGCGCCACGGCCGCGCGCTCCAGCGCAGATGATGTCATGAGGGGCCGGACACGCACGCACGCACGCACACACACACCGCTGCGCGTGGGACACACGCTCATGTGATCAAGTGTGTGTGTGTGTGTGTGTGTGTGTGTGTGTGTTTTACTATTGGATCTTCTGCCAGTGCACGCGCTGGAGCGCGCAGACACGGACAAGGCCGAGATGTTAATAAGATTTGACACTGTGTTTAACTAATGGAAGCGCTTTGTGAGCAGAATGAGAAGATAATTCACACAGACAAGCTGAGTTCATTTGCTGGGGCTAAAATCTGTGACGTAGGCCTGCAATAGCAGCAAAACAAAAACAAAACAGCAGCAGATCAGACGGAAAGTCTGCAGGAGCCGCTGCAGCACCTCCGTCTCAGGTACTGCACAGTTTATCTGATCATAATTCAGTTCAGCTTTACGGCGCGCGCTCCTGTGTTCATGCAGAATGGGCAGTGATGGACAGCAGCGTTCTGCGCGTGCGAGACTAATCAGTCTGTTCCCTGTATTTTTCAGTTAAACCGTTAACCCCCCACCCACCTCACCTCCTCCCCCCTCCTTTGGTCACTCTGCCTGATCGCTGTAGGAAGTGTTGCATTGACCTCGCATTGTGTGAGCGATGGGACCGTAAAGTGTTTAGCAACTGAAAAACACATCGGAAAAGAACAGCAGTAGCGCTCAGGACCCCTACCCTCACATTCACATTCACACACACACACACACACACACACACACACACACACACACACTTACAACACACACACTTATAGCGCAATTTCTCTCCGCTTAAAAAAACAACAGTTAAGATTTTCACAGCAAGACATTTGATTTTATTGATTTTTTTAAATGACCGGAGCGTTTGGGGCGTTTTCTAAACATATATGTAAACATCTAAACATGCATTGGCGCGTGCGTTATTATTAATTGTTGTAAACACTGAAAAAATGTCTGCACGCACGCAAAGCATGGATTTCATACGAAGACAAATTATGTACATTTTATCTATTTTATCTATCTGAGATGCAGCGACCACGAATTTTTTAATGACATTCTAATTCTGATTTCTTTACACTCAGTCTGAGCAAGGACTGTTTTATTTTGGCTGATTTTAATTAGCCTGTTTATAAACCTCAAGCTCACACTGTGAGGAAATATTTCCAGAACTTTCAATTAACCAAAGTCACAATATAAGTAACATGTAACATTTAATGGGCTAAAATGTCGTTTAAAATTCTTAAATTAAAAAAATCAGTTCGTCATTAAAATTTATAATTTTATTTAAATAACGTGAATTAGAGAGTGCTACACTGAAAATAAGAGGTGACTGTCTATTTAACACATTGAGTCATGCATAAGTAAACTAAGACATTGTTAATAGGATCATTCCAGTACAGCATTAATGCACCAGATCAGCCAAAATCAAAATAACAATAAAAATAATCATGGTTGATCATGTTTGGAGCAAAAATATGATTCCAATCTTTGCAAATTCTGATTGTGCATCCTTAATTTAGTGTGATTAAAATGCCTCAAACATCTCTGTTTTTTATTTTTATTATTATTATTATTATTATTATTATTATTGCTATGGTTGTTGTGATTTGCCACTAGGTCAAACTGAGAAACAGAACCCAGTGTTATTGAGCCAATTCTTTCTTCTTTACATATTTATGCCTGTTTTAGAAACCCACTCCTGTCTAATCAGTCAGATCTCATATCTGCATGTTCTGTTAGACCCTCCTGAACTGGCTGCATGTGGTTGAGGTGCTCTGATCCAGGACTCTCTCAGAAACACTCTATCTCATGTTCTAGATTTAGAGCTGCACTTGGTGTGAAACTCATTGAAACTCCTCGTAAAGGACCGCAAACCCACCACGCTAATTGTTACCACAGAATTACAGCGTTATTTTGGGGGGAAAAAATACACGTAATTGAAAACAACAATTCACAGAACATCTTGCCCACTTCCGTGCAGACTTGGTGGAAAAATTGTATTAATGGATTACTTTAGTTTCTTGATTTAGCTACATTTATAGTTATTAGACATAAAATACGTGACATCAGAAAGCAGGAGGAGTACATGAGTTCTGCACTGAGCTTTGCATTCAAATAAAACCATTCTCTCTCTCTCTTTCTCTCTCTCTCTCTCTCTCTCTCACTCACACACACACACACACACCACACACACACACAACACACGACTGACAGTAAAATCACCCTAATCCTCCTGCTGACCCTCTGGAGTTGCTAATGGACATTTGTCCTTTCAGGAGCATAAAAAGGAGGATTCCAGGTGGAGAAAAGAAAGAGAAAGAGAGAGGGATGAGAGGTCGCAGGCCTTTTGTTCAGAAGTGGAAAGGAGGTGGAGAGGGGATAAGAAAGCAACACCCTGCTGTGGATCAGGGATGAGAGGAGAGAAGGAGGAGGTGAGAGGAGGGATAATAATACTCTTCAGTTTGTTGAGTTTACACACAGAAAATCTTATATGCTCTCAGAAAAAAGTGAGTTTTTGAGGTACGAATGCTGTCACTGCTGGTGCCCTCAAGAGCACACCTTCTCTACTTTTAGTGAGGAAACATAGTTGTACCATATTCTGCTGCAGTTAGGTTTTTTAAGTTGACTCAATGCACCCTGCCTTTCCTGTGGGGTTTTATTTAACTTTTTTTTAATTATATAATTATTTAATGAAAAAATATATGATCCTTTCCTCTGGTTATCTTTATTTAGTGTACCCTTAAAACCTGTTTAAGGTACATAGTTAGACCTTGTTGTGCAGCTGAGGGTTTATTTGTAGTGTTTGTACTGGGGGGGGTAAAATTTACTGACAGTGTAAGCCTACATTAACTAACAAAAACATTATCTCAGAAGTTTATAGGACACAAAAATCTTTGATGTGTGCTAAAAGTGAATTCTACTGATTTTTCACAGTGTCTACATAATCGTTAAGATATAAACAAAGTCATTTAGGGTGTTTTGATGTGAAGTGGTTACATTACAGAGAAACTTACAAACTCAAACTTTTTGGTCTTGCTTTATTTGGATAGTCCACTATGGTCCCATATAGATTATCTACAGATGTTCAAATTCTTAACAAACTATATGCTGAAACAGTTGATCCTAAACAGTGGTGGCATTGGGGTTAGGATTTGGACCAGAGTTAGGGCTAGGACCAGGGTGAGGGTTGGGTTTAGGTTTTGGGTTGAGGTTAAGGTTAGGGTTAGGTTTAGACCCAGTTTAGAGTTAAAGAGCAATTATGGTCTATTTAGTAGATATTTATTTGAATGTAACGTCAAAGTAAATAGACATAAATAGATATAAAGCATCTAAAGTGGACTATCCAAATACCGATTTCTTTTTACAGTGGTGGTGATTGGAATCAGGGGTTCCAGATGTTTACAGCACAAACATAGCCATTTTATTTACTGTCCAAAAACACCAGTGAACCTACACGTCTTCTGAGTTTGTGTATGTAATATTGATAATAGGAAAATTATGACAAATCCAAAACATAAGAACTGTTTTGCTTTACAGCGCCCTGCATCTACCGCTCCACCATGAAAGTATTATTAAAAAGTTTAAGGCCAAAAGTGTATTTCAAAGCTATCTTAAGTACAGTGTCTCAGGCATCAGGCAGCACATTTGTGACTGTTTTGTGTAAGAGACTTTCTGTGATGTAGCTTTTAAAGGCAATAAATTAACATTAAATACATCTGCTGTGTACAATTCTGACTTGGTAAGATTCTCTAGGTTGGAGCATTTCACATCAAACGACTCAGGATGACTTTCTTTTACATCATAAGAATTTAATTACACAGTATTTCAAAACTTTTGGAATTCCCCTGTAATGTAACAATGTTTTATTCCAGGTAAATTTCTATTAGTCATTTGAAATGAAATGCCTGCACAATGTAAAGAGCAGCTTGTGTTTTCAAGTGGTAATGTAACAGAGCTTTCTTTAAAAAAAACAACAAAAAAATATATTAATATGACAGTAAGGACATGTAAGAAGATTTCAAAGGAGCGTGTTATTTTATGTATCTGTCTTGTATGACTCTCAGAAAAAAAGTAACCAAACTATCAACCACTCAAATCACTGTAGTGGTACCTTCAAGGGTACAACTTAAGAAACTTTAGTTTAAATAAATTGACTGTACCATATTCTGTTCCATCGGCTCCAGACCCTGTCTTGATTCCTGGCTTTTTAAAGCTACATATTTTCCCTGAGAAGATGAACGTAGTGTAACTTTAAAACTTGTTTAAGATACACAATTTAAATGTTAAGACCAATGTTGCACTTTTGATGGTACATTTATATTGTTTGTTGAATGAAAGTGTACCTGTACAGTACCTTTTATTCTGACGGTGTAAGCATACACGTCCGGAAGCTGCTACCTGATAGTGACTAGTGAGCTAAGGAATCTGGGCACCAAATGGTCACAAACACATGGTTACATACACACACACACACACACACACACAGGAGAGCTCAGGGTGGGGTGTTCCACAAGGGTTTGAGCATGTTTCTGAGTGTGGTGTGTGTGTTTGGCACAGGTTCAGAGAGAGAGCACAGGGAGGAGTCTCCCCAAGAGCATATTAAGCAGCAGTTAATTATATGCCAGCAGTTGTGACAAAGAAAGGAAAAAAGAAGCTTTCACTTGAATGGCAAGAAAAGAAAAGTCATTATCCTCACCTCACTTTTTCGCATGTGAAAACCTCAGTTCTCATTTCAGCATTTCCATTTGTATCACCCAGCTCAGCGCCATGCATTCTGGCTTAAGTCGAGGCTGCAGTGCTGAAGCAGGTGAACCCTCTGCACTGTCTCTCTTTACATTTTAATTTCATCACTATAGTCCGATGTAAAGCATAACAGTGAAAAGCTCAGCTGAGTATATAAGAACTATATTTTGGAGATTTTGGGAACAAAACCCTATACTTCCACTTTTGACCTTTTTCATTTTTTGACATCATTTGAAAACTCCAGCT